ACGCGGATTATAAACATAATGAAAATGCCTTAGCGAGATATTAAATTTCTCAACAGCATAAATTATCGCAATTCATCGCACGTGATTAAATATCGCCTCATTTAATCTTTAACCTCAAAATACGAAGACGAATGAAAATACGATGATACGAGAAGAAAATGATTCGGGAATTGTTCGGTACAGATATTGTCTCGCATAATAAAGTTAATGGAAATACCTAGTTTCTCGTGTATTTCATAATTTCCAATTTCAATTTCAGAACGAGATAATTTAAACAGCAAACGATGCACGTGCGGCTGAATAAAGGAATATCCATGCAAATGTTCCAAACGACCCACTGATAAACACAGCAAATTATTCAGTCATATTCGAACCGCGGCGATATAATCGACAAATATAACACATTTAAATTGTGCGTTCGCTTCGTATTATTATGTCATTTAACGTGCGGATAATTTGATTAAACGCACCTCAAAATAAATTCCGATAAAAGAAAGGCGATGTGACGTGCTTTTATTGGATTTATAAAATTCAGGAATTGGTTGAAGCTTATCTTGTTTATTGTCCATAAATTTTATTTTTATATTGATAGGTTAGGTTAGGTTCAATATTCTATTTTTATTTTTCATTGACAATAAATTTTACTTTCATTTTGTTACTTATTATCAATGATAAATTTTATAGATACTTTAGTATTTATTATTAGTAATAATTTTTATTTTTATACTGTTAGGCTAGGTTAGATTCAATATTTTATTTTTATCTTTTATCGACAGTAATAAATTTTACTTTCATTTTGTTATTTATTATCAATGATAAATTTATAGTTATTTTAGTATTTATTGTCAGTAATAATTTTTGTTTTTATATTGTTAGGTTAGGTTCGATATTTTATTTTTATTTTTTATTGCCAACAATAAATATTTTGTTATTTATTGTCAATGATAAATTTTATTATTTATTGTCAATAATAAATTTTACTTTTATATTTTTATTTATTACCAACAATAAATTTTATTTTCATTTTGTGATTCATACTCAAAACTAATTTTTTTATTCAATTAATTAATATTTTATTTTTGTTCGACTATTCACTTCTTCTTATATTTGTCTTCTTCGTATTTACTATAATTTTATCTTTATCTTGTAACTATTTCCCTGTTCAATTTTACCCCCATAAATATAGTGCATACATACTGCACGTACGATATTAAAATACAAAATGACATAAATTTACATAATGAAATTGAACAGAGTACAAGCCACAAATTAAACAACATACGAGTTCAAGTAAACATATTGCAGGAAGTATAATAACCGATAGAACAGAGGTTGGAAATCTCAAAGCGATTAAGGGTGAACACAATTTACCGTTCAAATCCTCCCCCGCATTGTTTTCTAATCCCCAAATGGGACGGGACTTCGATGGAATTTCATCGGTTCTAGTACTTCTCCAACAGTCTGTGGATTCTACCTTCGATCCGCTATAATCACTATTAATTCATCAACAACCCTTTCAATCATTTGCAGCCGGTTAATTGATCAGACTAATATGAGTATAATTATAATCATACGTTCCGGGAAACGATGTACGTAATGATCATTACATGTTGTTACTCTGGCGAAAGCCAATCCCTGTTATTTAGTTTAATAAACAGACTAATTAATCATGGAGATGATAAGTATTATACTGTTTTTGTAAATAACGTCAGGGACATTATAATAAACAGGGACAGTATAATGATAAATTAAGTGATAGATGTTATATTATGATGATAAATGAAATGATAGATGTTATACCAATTTACTAATTCTAAAATTCTAATCTTTCAAATTTCTGAAGTTCCAAGCTTCAAAAGTTTTAAAATCCCAAGATTCCAAGCTTCCAAATTTCAGAAATCTCAAAATTCAAAATTTTCCAATTCTCTGCCCTTCAATTCCCTGCTCTCCAATTCCATGCTCCCCAATTTCCCACTCTTCAATTCCCAAGCTTGCAAGTTCCTATATCCTCAATTCCTACGCTTCCAAATTCCCAAATCCCCAATCCCAAGCTTCCAAATTCCCAAATCCTCAATTTCCAAGCTTCCAAATTCCCAAACCCCCAATTCCCACGCTTCCAAATTCCCACATCCCCAATTCTCAAGCTTGCAAATTCCCATATCCCCAATTCCTACGCTTCCAAATTCCCAAATCCCCAATTCCCAAGCTTGAAAATTCCCATATCCCCAATTCCTACGCTTCCAAATTCCCAAATCCCCAATTCCCAAGCTTGAAAATTCCCATATCCCCAATTCCTACGCTTCCAAATTCCCATATCCCCAATTCCTACGCTTCCAAATTCCCACATCCCCAATTCCCAAGCTTGAAAATTCCCATATCCCCAATTCCTACGCTCCCAAATTCCCAAATCCCCAATTCCCAAGCTTGCAAATTCCCAAATCCCCAATTCCTACGCTTCCAAATTCCCACATCCCCAATTCCCAAGCATGCAAATTCCCAAATCCCCACTTCCCTGCTCTCTAATTCGCTGCTCTCCAATTCCCTGCTCCCCAATACCCTGCTCCCCAATTCCCTGTTCCCCAATTCCCAGCTCCCCAATTCCAAAATTTCAAACTTCCAAATTTCTATAGCCCCAAAATCCTATAATCCCAAATTTCAAAAACTCCAAAATTTTGAAGTCCAAAAATCCCAAAATCCCAAAATTCCAAAATACCAGTCTTACCAATTCCCAAAATCCCAAAATACCAATCGCACCAATTCCCAAAATCCAAAACTACCATTCCCACCAATTCCCAAAATCCCAACCTCCCAGTCCCCCCAATTTCCAAAATCCCAAAACACCGCATACTTCCCGCACACCGTGTATAATCGCTGTCGTAATTTCCAGCGAGCCGTTTCACTTTCGTTGCGTGTTCTTGCTCGCGAATTTCCACCACCCTGTCCCCGATTACGATACCTCGAAGCCTTCTCCTCGGCTCGTCCAGCAACGCGACGTTCCCTCTTTTACTCGTTATTTTTCTCTCTTAAACTCAACACCCCGTAATTGCTCAAGGTTCTCTTTTTACCCTTCCATAGAGACGCGGAGGTTGCATTTCGAAAGACGTCAAGCCTCGCGCGGATGCGGATGCAGTTCGATACGACGAAACTTCTCCAAGCTTGGCCCAGTGACCCAGTTTTTCCTTGCTTGTTGCCGTGCTAACGCAAAACCGTGTTGCTACGCGTTAATTTTCCATTTCTGTGATTCGATCTATCCCTTTCGTGGAAATAACCCGCAACGGGTTAGAACGCCGCGGGTTTTGTTAAATTAATACGAGATTAGGGGGTCTTGTTTAAAGGCCGAGGTTTCATTGATTTAATTTGATTGACTTTATACAAGTAATAATCTTCTATTTCTGTGTCATTCGATGCTTTCAGCTTTCAAAGCCCGGTCACTCGATACCGCGTGATTTTACTAAATAATTTGATATCTTTCGTCAAAATTTAATTGTGGAAATAGATATGGGTTTTGAGTTATGCTTTCCGTCTGATGATAATTTCCATAGTTTATTTACAAAAAGTAATAATAATAGATGTATTTTCAGTCATCTATTGATTGATAATTTATTTCTAACAATTCTTTACTGATTTTGTAACAATCTGCACGTGAATCTCCATAGGAGAAAACCTACCCTTACGATTAGAGCTACTGCGCATACTTTCTGCACAGCTCCATCTCCGAGCGCGGTTAAATGCCTCTTTTCAAACGACGGTAATCGTTTTTTAAGTATAAACACATATTTTTAAACAAAAACTATACAATAATTTTCATGTTTCAATTTTTATTATCATTTAAAGCAAAGAAATTGTAATTCTGTTTTAAAACGTTCAATTTGTTTGCAATTCTGTAATTACATTTTCAGAGTTAAATGTTCACGAAGTAAAATATTAAAAATACAATTACTTCAGCTGCATAAATTGTTTATTAGCAATCTCTCACAGAATTATTCATCAAAATTCAACAAACAATGTAAGCACCGTTCAAATAAATAATCCAGCACCTCGAATTTGGTCGTTTTTGAAACAGATTTCGCAGAAACGAGTTATATAAACATAATTTCAATCTACAAACAATTTCTGTTAATTCCTCATTTCTGCGATTCGATAATAGCTCTCGATTAAAAGCCGAAATCGAGCAAATGAATTCCACGGAAAGAACCGGAAATTGTTTCTCATTAAATTAATAGTAATTTAATTCGTACATTTCGCAGCTAAGAAGCTAGCATGAATGAATCATCGAAACTTTTCCTGATATTAAGTCGAACTACGATATCGAATAACATTGCCACCGTAATTTATACGGAACACGTACATATTGTTCGTCGAGTGATTGTTCGATTTCTAGCCGTTTCTATTTCACTGAATATATTATATTTCATTCGTTTCATAACAACGATAAACGATTCAAAAGCAACGTGGATTTGATCGCTCGATTCTGATCATCGTCGAACTGATTACCGTCTGCTTTGGATTAATGAAACGGCTTATTTGCGTTGCCCATATTATTGCGATTCATCGAAAACGTGTTGACGACACGACACGATGTATAATTGCGAGATAATAATAAACTGTGGCGCTCATTATAGTTGGATTATACGCATTCCATGTCGACAACAACCGATCGAACTCCACTCAATTCTTAACCCTTTGTTCCGAGGGTTTCTTGTTTTAGAATTAGCTACAAAAATACCCTTTCATACTGTCATCAAACGGAGTGAGTGAGTCACCTTTGAAACACAAAGGAATAATTTTAATCTTAATTCTAACAATTTTTCAACTGAAGGCAACAATCCAGTAATTTAAGGATTTGAACATTTCAGAATTTAAGAATTTACAGAGTTTGAAAACTATGAAATTTGGAGACTTGAGAATGTCCCCAAATGTGAAAATCTGAAGCTCTGAAAATTTACAAATCTGAGACTAAAAAAATTTCAAGAATTGAATCTCTGAAAATTTGTAAATATCGGGGATCAGAAAATTTGGAAAAGAGAATATCTAAAAATTTGGAAAATCGAACAAAAGTAAAAATTAGTATAGCTCGCCCTAAACGGGATTAAACGATCATCCGAACGGTAGACACAGAGACGATCGGGTGTACGAGATTACCAAGGGTCCCTTATGCACAACATAATTTGCAGTGTGACGTAGACAGCTTCTGCGTGGAAACTGGGTCAGCTGGAAGCGTAGCAATTTAGACGCATCGAGAAAAAAAAAACGTTTTACACGTTTTCCAGCTAGGAGGAGAGAAGGATTTCCGTGCTCGCTACCCTATCGGATTTTTGTTATCCATTTTTATCCTGTTTTCCTTTTACCAGTAATTACCAGGGTTCTCGAGAAAATGTGATTCGTAAACAGGTTTCGCGATCAAATCCGTGCTACGATAATTATCTGTACTCTTGTATTTTTTGCTGCAGAGCCATTTTTTCATTCAAATCTGAACGAGGTGTTCGTATTTTCCTTGAATCGATGTGTCATGTTAAATTATTTCAAATTTTACATCATTTAGAATCTGATGTTTTAGTTGAGTACATAGTCTTCTCAGTCGAACTTTAAATTAAAAATTAATATACTGTGAGTATTATTTTAGGTTAGCTTTGTGTCATCATAATTATTGGGAGAGTATGTTCTTCAAAATCACTTGCTATAATTAGCAAGACATTTTGTACAAAAACATTCATACGGTTTTCTTCATTAAACCTTAAACTTGAAGTTAATATACCACAGGCGCCATTTTGTGATACTTTTATGACGTCATATTTCATCAAACGCGACGAGCTTCAAAATCAGCCATCACTTACTATAATTAGTCAGCAGCCATTTTGTAGTAAAAATCTTGATGAAATATTCATATAGGCTTCTTCATTAAACCTTAAAATTGAAGTTGAAATACCACAGGCGCCATTTTGTGATACTTTTATGACGTCATATTTCATCAAACGCGACGAGCTTCAAAATCAGCCATCACTTACTATAATTAGTCAGCAGCCATTTTGTAGTAAAAATCTTGATGAAATATTCATATAGGCTTCTTCATTAAACCTTAAAATTGAAGTTGATATACCACAGGCGCCATTTTGTGATACTTTTATGACGTCATATTTCATCAAACGCGACGAGCTTCAAAATCAGCCATCACTTACTATAATTAGTCAGCAGCCATTTTGTAGTAAAAATCTTGATGAAATATTCATATAGGCTTCTTCATTAAACCTTAAACTTGAAGTTAATATACCACAGGCGCCATTTTGTGATACTTTTATGACGTCATATTTCATCAAACGCGATGAGCTTCAAAATCAGCCATCACTTACTATAATTAGTCAGCAGCCATTTTGTAGTAAAAATCTTGATGAAATATTCATATAGGCTTCTTCATTAAACCTTAAACTTGAAGTTAATATACCACAGGCGCCATTTTGTGATACTTTTATGACGTCATATTTCATCAAACGCGATGAGCTTCAAAATCAGCCATCACTTACTATAATTAGTCAGCAGCCATTTTGTAGTAAAAATCTTGATGAAATATTCATATAGGCTTCTTCATTAAACCTTAAACTTGAAGTTAATATACCACAGGCGCCATTTTGTGATACTTTTATGACGTCATATTTCATCAAATGCGACGAGCTTCAAAATCAGCCATCACTTACTATAATTAGTCAGCAGCCATTTTGTAGTAAAAATCTTGATGAAATATTCATATAGGCTTCTTCATTAAACCTTAAACTTGAAGTTAATATACCACAGGCGCCATTTTGTGATACTTTTATGACGTCATATTTCATCAAACGCGACGAGCTTCAAAATCAGCCATCGCTTACTATAATTAGTCAGCAGCCATTTTGTAGTAAAAGTCTTGATGAAACATTAATATAGTCTTCTTCATTAAACCTTATATTTTAAGTTGACGCTCCACAAGCGCCATTTTGTGATACTTTTATGTCATGACATCTCACCAGTCACCACTGTAATTAACAAGCAGTCAATTTAAATTAAATACATCTAATGAAGTATTTATGTAATTCATTACTTGGTAATTCACTAGTTTTATGCAACATTTATACAATTACCAGTTCAAGAGAATTGGTATCTAACGACAATAATTTACCATTTCACGATTACGCAATGATTAACCAGTTTCTAAGTTTAATCAAAAAAGGTGATACGGTCTCCAACGGAAAGCGTAATTCCGTGGGTTAATCGATTCACAACATTCTTCTCACCGTGTATCATGAAAGCTCGTTTCGCGAAAGGGAATAATGCAATTGCCTCCTGGCAGTCTTATCTCGCTGCGCGGCAATATCTCGATAAAAGCTCGAAAGCCGGTGTTTTTCTCGACAGTCGGAGAGAATCGAAGCTCGGTTGCGGAAAAAAACAACCCGCGAATACGTGAAAACCGTTCTACCGAATGGAACAACAGTGAACTTCGACATCGATATCAATTCACGTTGAATTAACGCGATAGAGTGTTAAATCATATATCATCCTTCACTTTCCACTTTCTAAACATCTTCACACTCTTTCGTTTTTTCGATTTTTAGTTTTCCTCGATTATATGTATTATAAAAATGAAAAATATGGTTGAGTACCATTAGATTTTAATCTTCATAACCACAGTTCAAAAATCCCTATATTAATAACTAGACTCTTAAATTTCTTTATGACTACATTTCTTAAATCCTCAAATTAGAACAGAATTTTAAATACCCCTAAATTCCTCACAATCCATATACTTTAACCTACCCTCAACTTCTAATGGAAAAGTCTATCAATAACAGTTATAAAATTTAAATTTTTGTATGTACAAAAATTTTCCTGATTCCATGAATTTTTATCACGAGTTTGTGTAACAATGCTGGTTCTTCCATGGTGTATTAAAGAAGCCATTAAAATATTGCAACAGAATTTTCAGCGTCGATTTATATTACTAATTAAAAGATGCTGCAATACCAGACCCAGGTGGTATTCATCTTCAGCAACGTGATTAAGTTAATATTGTTTGAACGCGTACGCGAAATTTGATCTACTGCTTCTCGTGCAAAACCATTAAAATTTCCGTGGAAATCTACTAATTAAAAGATGTGAATCGGTGCTCTCGTTCCGTCGCTGTTTAACGTGAAATTAAAACTGCAAGAGGTATTCATTTTCGACGCTGCTTATTTAAAAGCCTTGCAATATACCGCGACCGATTACGTGTTTTATTTTTTTCCATTTTACTCGGCTCTTCTAGAAAGTAATCTTTCGAGAGATACGAAGTTATCTTCAAACTTTTACCTTCGAATGTCGAAACTTAACAGCCGGACGATTAAACCGATAATTACTGAACTGTTCCATGTTCGGAACATTGAAACTATTTGCTTATCTTCGAATCTTCTTCGATGGTAAATCTAGATAATCATTCCTGTGCAGTCGCAATAATTTGTTTACAGGATATGCTATCAAATCGGATAGCGTGCAGTGTAATTGCGATATTTCTTGGTCATTATGATAACACAACGATGATTGCGTTACATCTGCGTTCCTGCGGCTTGATGCAAATAACTGTTTGTCGTTTATCGCGTCGTGTCTAATACCTTCTCCGCTAATGGAAAGAAAATTTGTGGAAAATTAGTGAGGTTATGATAATCACCTACAGCATTCGAACACGTTAAGATGGTTCCAATAATCTTTTTTCTTTTACGTACTCACCTTCTGAAAATTTAGTTTATCGTGTAAAAAAATTCTATAAAGATTTGAGCTAAAAAGTTTCAATTTCACTACTGGCGGGAAGACGACTCGAAGAAATGTAACGTGATCTGTTAAAGAACGCGATAAAGACCTGTTCCATTGTTTTCAATAATAATACGTTGCAAACTTTCTTTATTCTCAGTCCTTTTATTATACTACTTTTACCAACATATTGGTAACACTTTCCCGATTAAAATGAGTCCAAACACGACGTAATTCGGTGCATATTTACTTGTAATAAAATCCCGAATATCATAAAGCCATAGTAGTCTCCGAATTTCGACTGACAGGCGTATCACGTGATCCCCGAATAGCACCGAAGAAAACCGAAATTCCCCGATGTGTCATTAGTCGTTCGTTTACCGCGCATTTTACACAAAATATCAACATAAGAAAAATATTTGAATTTACAGGTAAGTATGTCCCAAATTATGTCATGTTTAGTCTCATTTTAATAAGGAAAATGTCACAAATATATTGATAAAAGTTTCATAAAAAGCAAATCAAAAATACAAGTTTTATTCTTGTATCTGGAAAGCCCCATATGTTTGTTTACGTTCGGTCTCCTCTCGCTGTCCTTTTCTACGTCCAGCAAAACATCTGTCAGTGTCGCACCTACACAATATACGCAAAAGCCCCGAAACATTCGCTTATATCAAATGATTACTGTCTATTGATTTTTTATCATACCTACAATTTAAATGCCTGCAGATAAAATAGCAGAAGAATGAAAACTAAACGGTGTTCATTGTCCATCGAAAAGAAGTTAATTCATTTATACGCCATCTTTGTTACGCGAGTGTTTTATATTGTCGAAGAAAATACAATTAATTAAGTTGACTAAGAAACAGTCGACGATAGAGGAAATTTAGCCGGCTAGACAGACGATTTTAATCGAAATAAAGAAGCAAAACGAAATAAAGCAACAGCTCGCAAAAGGGAACGAAGAAACGTAGACGTTCGCCAAAAAGGAACTAACGAAAATGGCGATGAACGTATACGACGAGAAGTCGACGCAAATTAAAGCCAACAAGACGAGAAATTACGGTCTGGCTGAGAAGAAAACAATTCGCGGCCGTTGTGCAAACGAGATACCACCACTACGGTAACATCTACAATGGTAGTTTGTACAGTGGTTTATACGAACATTATAGTTTGCAAGAATCGACCGAATGGTCGTCGATGAATTAATATTCGTGGCACACTGATAAGACAGAGGCGAGCGACCTTTTTTATCTGTGACAGATGTGCACGCAACGGGAAAATTGCATCGTGCGTGCTTGTTAAACGATCAAAGACCCCAACTATATCAGAATTTATGATCGTCAATCTTTCGTGAATATTATTGGAAGACCTTAGGTGAAGAGTGTGGGATAATTTAAATAAGGACGTATTGGGGAGTTTATATGGCGCTGGGAGAGAACTGAAAAAGGCCATATAACGGGAGTTTACAAAGTTTTCAAATATTCCAATTTTTTAATTGTAAAATTTTTTTTAAATTTTCAAATTTCCATACACCCAAAGATTTATATATTTTTGAGTCTTCGAATTAAAAAAATTTGAACTATAATTTTACATATTTAAATTTCTAAATATGCACGCAGGAAAATGTATCTAAATTACAAAGTTTATATACAGGGAAATTGAACACATGAATTCTGATATTTGCATATGTGAAAATTGAACACATCTAAATTTCTAAATTTACATATATGAAAATTGAACACATCTAAATTTCTAAATTTACATATATGAAAATTGAACACATCTAAATTTCTAAATTTGCATAAATGAAAATTGAACACATCTAAATTTCTAAATTTGCATAAATGAAAATGTAACACATCTAGATTTTAAAATAAAAAATCTTCTAAACATCTAAAAATGTGTAAATTTCAATTTCCACAAATAAATACGAATTTCTACGAGGAGAATCAAAGCAAAAAATCTGGATAATCAGCAATGAAAACAACCCTGTTGAAAAATCCATAGCGATGAAGTTATATCACCAAGAACACGAAATGTTTCATCAATCGAACGACAATGGATCCGAAGAGAAACGCGATGGATTATTCGAATCCCCCAATCGTTCAAAGGTAACAGTTTCTCGTAATTCAATTCGTATAATTGAATTCCCGATGCATCGATGCCGCTGCGAACTGAATTAAAGTAGCATCGCATCGGTTTTTCATTTTTCACCGGTAAAACCGTGCAGATCGTTGCGATAAGGAAAACCTAATACACCTGTGTCTCTGTGACTCAATGTGCTTTCCCACGTGCTGTTCCGCGCTTATTCATAATTAACGAAGAATAACACGGGAAATTGTACGAATACGCTTTTTTCTTCCACAATACGAGGAAACTGAAAATGGAAACGGGAATGGGGCAAACAGATACGGTAAATTCGAACGATCTCGATGTGAACGAACGAGTGCTGTATTTACATAAAAATTATGCCAACAGCTTCTTGGCCGACGAATCCTCTTTACGGTGCTTCTTTTCCGCGAACGTAATTCTGCCGTGTAAAAGCGACGAGACTTTGACAGAGGAATTACGCGGCCGGAAACGAGTTGAAAATATCGCGATGTTTCTCTTGCGGTATTAACCTTTTGTTGGTGAAAACCGGGATACTTCCGGAACGAGATTCGGTCATTCGTCGAAACAATATCCGACCAATTTTATTTCGTTTATATTGCATTGGAGACTCGTTAACTTTGCGATTTAAATGCAAAATATCAACGGGTGTATCGAGAGATGTATTTCTACAGACTATTTTGAGAAAATTTTGCTAGAATACCGATTAAAGCCCGCGTCGATCGGATAAAGCTTACCGTTTAATCAGTTTCTAAGAAGATTTAGCCATTTTCTTGTTCATCTTCATCCATCCCGTCCTTATGCAATTTGTCTCGTTTTTCGACTCGCGATAGAAAGCACGAGGAAGCAGTTGCGAACCATCAGGCGACCGAGTGACTCGTTGACTCCGACGAGAGATGGGAATCAATTAAAGCGCAATTATGGTGCATTTGGCAGCGAGAGACGACAAGAATCTGTCCACGGATAGAATTCGAAGCGTGGAGCGACGTCGCTGCGGACTATTAATGGAAACAGAAAAACTAACGACGGAGAGGGAGAGCTTGTAGCTCTGTGACAAAATACAAGCAGGTGTAATTTCAGGGGCCGCCTTCGAAATCAATCATACGCTTCAGTGAAAATGATACACAGATAGAAATATGTGGTGTTAAAGTTCGATAGGGAGGTTCTTATTTTATGATTCGAAAATTACTTTTCAGGGATGGAACGAGTTGGGATGAAATTGGGGAGAATTTGGAGAAAAGTAGATTTTTAAGGTAGAGAAATTGTATGTTTGCAAATTTGTAAATTACCAAATTCATAAATCACAAAATTCCTAACTAACTGAATTCCTAAATGATCAAATTTCCAAGTGATCAAATTCCTAAATAACCGAATTTGCATACAACTAAATTTCTAAATCGTCAAATTTCCAAATGACCAAGTTCCTAAATCACCAAATTTCCAAATGAGCAAATACCTAAATGACTAAGTTCCAAATGAGCAAATTTCTACATCACTAAATTTCCAAGTGACCAAATTCCTAAATCACCAAATTTCCAAGTGACCAAATACCTAAATCACCATTATACTAAAAATAAAGTATACCTATAACTACACCAACTACAATACTATAATACACACATGTATAATTCTTACACAAGACTCTCAAATAAAATAATATAGTACATATTATAAAAAGCAAAGTTACCAGGGTTCGATAAGAATCTATAATTTGCACGACCACTTGAAAAACTAAGGCAAATTGGATGAAAACGGCTTTGAGATGCTAATGAATCGATAAGAATACGTTGCCATACCTAGCTAATTAGTTTGAGCGTAACAATGAGCCAATATGGCTTGTTTACGTGATATACAACGCAAATAAAAAATGATCTGCGTAGTAGAGCAAGAAATCGACGATATTTGTTCGTGTGATTACACCGGTAACGCAACACTGTTAATCTTATCAGTTAGCCATGGTCGTTTGTTTTCTTGTAACTTTTATTTCGTACTGTTTAAAAAGACGTTTACTCGCTGGCAGAACATGAAAGGGATTGTAAACGCTTCTTCGGGCAATTAAATTCTATTTACAAGTACTGTTTGTCTTTTTCGGACTACTCCTAGACTGTTTGGAACAGTACACAGGCTTGATTTAAAGGTATTTGTAGCCGGTTTTAGCCAAGATCTTTTATTGTCGTTCTTTTGTTGTTGGAGGAAATGGGGCGGACAAAGACTTCGAATGTAAAGATTTGGGGACTGAGATGGTGATCTAAGGTGTGGGGTGTTTTAGGGATTTTGGGTTCATTATAAGTCCGAGTATAATAATGCTTTCGTTAGGATGCTCCGACCTCCTGTTAGCCGCCTTAAGGCACTTTTCACTATTTTTCTAGGGATTTTGGCTCATTTTAACATAGATTGATTCTGTGACAAAAAGTCGTATCCAACACAGTTTGGTAAAAAATCCTCAAAAGTCCTTAGATTCCAAAAATGCCAAAAATCCCTAGATTCCGAAAATCCCCAAGTTCCAAAAATCTCAGATTCCAAAAATTCAAAAATCCCAGATTCCAAAAATTCAAAAACTCCAAAAATCCCCAGATTCAAAAATCCCTAGATTCCAAAAATCCCCGATTTCCAAAAATCTCCAAATTCCAAAAAATCCCCAGATTCCAAAGCTTCCTATTATTATTATAATATATCAAGAATTTTGTCATAGATAAAATTAGAAAACTCGTCTCTCTAAAATATTTCTCCTACGAAAAGATTTTTCGAATCGAGAATGGGTCAAAATGATGGATAAAAATATCGAAGAGATACACGGAGGATGAGGGTTTTGATAAAATTAATTTATTCTCGTTCCATTAGCTGACCATTTTTCTTTGTGACGCCTGGCGCTGTTGAACGTGTGTGTAGAGTACATCCGTTGCTTACACCATACGTGTTGTATTGTACAAAGCACACACGGTCGTTTGAAAATGCCTGTAAATGAGCGGTCGGCGATACACATCGTAGATACTGTGTTCCGCACGGTGACCCACTTTAACAGAGGCCCTCTAATACGCCCCAAGATTCTTTTCGACATCGCTGATATATGGCAGATTCTTCGATATATCAATGTTTCAGCAACTTTTTATTATACACACGTGGCTGGTATATCGTACGCGTTTACACGTGTGAGCATGAATTTCATTTGTATCATGAGGATATCTTTCGGGTGTGGAGTTCGGGAATTTTTATATTTGAAGAGTTGGACATTTTTTAATTCGGGATTTATAAATTTGACATTTGGAAATTTTTAATTCGGAATTTGAGACTTTAGTGTTTTGGACATTTGAGGACTTGGAAATGAAATTTAGAGATTTTAATGTAAAGCGTTCCACATACGAATCTTCATTACACTATTTAACTTTCTGATGAAATAACAAAAAAAT